TGTTCTTACTTGGAGTGGGTTGATTAAGAGTGGCCATAGTATTTGAAGATGTGCCTAGCGAAGCTCTGGAGCATGTATGAGGAAGAGAATAGACGCGGGCTTAAAGAAACTATTGTCAACGCTGAAGATTATTTGAAGATGTGGGGTAAAAAGAGGAAGGTGGAGAATAAGCTTAGATTTTTTTTAATCAGACTTTGCTACGATGATGTTGGCGAAGGAGGAGGCACTTTCCCAGTTGGCCAGTGCAAAACAAGTTCTTACTGAACTGAAAATAGAGGTGGATAAGACGAGCCTGGATGATCTCAATTAGGGAAATGAATATATTGTTCTTATGAAGTTGAACTAGCTATATGTTGTATTGTGTTGTTTTCATATAACTATCGTATTGTGATGTTATAATATATTTATGTGCCTGATATGAAATTGGCAAAACAGTTGTTCGATATGAAATGTGAATTTGCGTAATACTGAAATTATTAATTATAAAATAATAAACCTGCTAAATGTGTCATGGACCTTTGCAAACGGTTCTAGCAGTAAAAGCGCTTGCGATGGATAGCCCAATGCCACACAGTTTTCTTTATCAAATCGTGTGTGATGTAGTTGATAAAAGCAAACACTTAACCAAGGTAGACCATGTGTGATAGTTACACCTTTCACACATGATCCTACACATAAAAACTGTGTGGGATGTACATATGAACGGAAACATATTCCCTGGATTGACTATGTGGGATGTACATAAGAACAGAAATGTATTCCTTGGATTGACTGTGTGTGATATACATACCTACGGAAATGTTTTTCTGGGATTCATCCTGTGGGACATACATACTTACGAAAATGTTTTTTGGGATTCATCGTGTGGGATGTACATACCTACGAAAATGATTAGGTTTCGATGCCTCGCCCGATCGCACATGAGCTCATTTGGTGTCCCAAGAGGGCCTATCCCCGACGATTTCTAGGTCGTGTGGGAAGGACCTCCTATCGCCCACACTCACTTGGCGACGGTTCCAAATGTCGTCGTGAAAAGGGGTTAAAAATCATTTGTATAGCACCGAAGCGTACCAGTGTAAGGAGTTAGTCGCAGGATCTTGTATTATGGAAGAAGTAAAGAGACTTTCCGATAACGAAATTGAACTAGGTATGAAGATATCGACGATCGAATCTTGGGCTGAATTCTTGACATCGAGGTTTGACCGATAAAGATCTTCGTAGAATATGTAGGAATCATTATGGGCATCCAGGTCTCCCTATTGGTTATTGACCGTAGAGGTGTCTCGATCATGTCTACATAGTTCTCGAACCCGTGGGGTCTACACACTTAACGTTTGGTGATGATATAAGTATAGTTGAGTCATTATGGTGGTTACCGAAGATTGTCCCGGATGAGATCCCGGACATGACGAGGAATCCCAAAATGATCCGAGGGTGAAGATTGATATATTCGACGAAGGGTATTGGAGTCTAGAAGTATTCCGGGGGTACCGGGTGATGACCAGGATGACCGAAAGGGGTTTCGGGGAGGGGGGCAAGTGTTGGGGCCCCATGGGCCAGGGGGGCAAACCAACCCACTAAGAAGCTATGCGCCCCCTCACCCCATCCCACATAACCAGGAGAGGTGGGTCCTCCCCTAGGGTTCCCTCACCACCCTAGGGTTTCCCTAGGGGGCGCCCCATCTGCCTTGGCCACCGCCCCCAAGATGAGATTTAGGGCGCCCCCTCCTCCTCCCTTCCCCCTATATATATAGAGATAGGTAGAGAGAGGGCAGCCGCACCCTTGAGCACATCTCCACACCACGGTGATGCCCTTCCTCTCCCTCGTAGTCCATCTTCTTCTCCTAGTGCTTAGTGAAGCTCCGCTGAGATTTTTCCACCACCACCGCCATCACGTCATCGTGCTATCGGAGGACTCGAACTACTACTTCACCATCGCTCGCTGGATCGAGGAGGTGAAGGCGTCATCAAGCCGTACGTGTGTTGAACGCAGAGGTGTCGTCCATTCGGCACTAGATTGGAGTTCGTGGGACGAATCATGATTGGATCGTAAAGACGTTCGACTACATCAACCACGTGTCCTAACGCTTCCGCTTAGCAATCTACAAGGGTGTGTAGATCCAATCTCTCCTGTCGTAGATGGCCATCTCTTAGATTGATCTTGGTGAGTGTAGGAAATTTTTTGTTTCCCATGCAATGTTCCCCAACACCAGATTGCAAAGATTGCCCACTCCCTCTAGAGATATCTCCGCCGTTATATGGAGCCTGCTGTTGGTAAGGCACCAAACCTGGCTGAACAGGCATAAACTGGTAAAGGTATTATTGTTGTTGTGGCCACTGTCCCATATCTTGGAACTGACTGTTCTGCCCTCCTGATGGGTAGCTTGCAAGCATCTGGCCTGAGGGCATCATATGAGCAGGCTATGCCATGAGAACAATTGGAGGCCTAGAGTAGATAGAGATGGGAGACGGCTGCGGGATCCCA